CGGCACGGCTACCTTTTTTAGGCACTGGCTGCACATTGATTTGCTTCCAAGATTTAGGCACTATTCCAGTCCTGAATGAGAGGCGGAACAAGCGAGTCAACACATGAGACAACTCAGGTGCACAGACCTTTAGAACTATAGCTGGTATACAATCAGGTCCACTAGCTTTGTTCACGTCCAGACTAATTGATGGGCCTGAGTATAATGCCAGTTATGCTCTTTGGCTGAAGTAATTTTTTTATTTTATGCTCAATTGCAAACAAAACAATATTGATTGCGCATTTCTAAAACAAAATTTTACCTCTTCTCCTTCTAATAATAGCTCCTGCACCTAACACGGCAGAATAGTTATTATCTATAAGACCATTTGCGAAAACAGTTTTTGTTAACAGTTATAGTGTGTACATTGTGTGTGTAACATTTTATCAGCTGCTTTGTTTATAGTGCCTTGAGCAACACTTTGCCGGTTCCTGTACAGAAAATGATCCTGGCTTTGCAAATATGGATGGCCGCTACCATTGAATATAATACCCGCTATTTTACACTTATTTAGCACTTTTTACCCAAGAAAATAAACTTTTAGATCTTGTTTTTCACTAATTAAGTAAAAAGTAAAACAAACCAATAGGGCCGTGATTTAAAATTTCTTGCAACTTTTTATAGAAAAGCACGACCTTATCATAATATAAAAGTCAATCATTTAGCCATGTGATAAAACTTTTAAGTGTGCCAGTCAAACATTAATGATGATATTCGGATCATTATACTGGAAATAGTCTTTTAAATATTTTGTAGGACAATTGATAATCTTCAGTATGATTGACCGTGTATATGACTTTTATAAGTCTATGTTATTTTTGATGAAAATTATTATTGCAGATAAAAGCCTTTTCACATTTATTTTAGTCTCGAATTAAATTAATCAAAATGAAAATAATAACTTTGGCTCTTTATAACTGATCTTTAAATGTTAAACACTGCCTTGAAAGTATATAATTATTGGCATTTTTTAAATTCATTGAACTTTTTTAAGATTTTGTTCAAACTCACTGGTAAAAAAAAAAACAAATATATATATTATAGTTCTTGATGAAAATAATGTATGCGCGTTACATCGCATCCCATCAAGAATTTCTAATGTAATTCTTGGTGTAAAGCTAAGACGTGATAATAACTGTAAACAATAGAATAACAAAATAATGAAAACATTTACATTTACATACAAAACATTTACAAAAAATACTTGCTTTATAACCTAATAAATATTATTTGACCGTAATAAAATAAAACAAGATAGTCTTCGGCATGAAATTAAAAATAAATATTTTCGATTATTTTTGCAATATCTAACAGCCGGATCAGCGCGCGATTCTGATCCATCTAAAGATGCCTAAATTTCATCAAGCACTGTTAAATGCAATAGGAGTGACAGAAAAACGGTTCTTGATATAGAAAGGTAAATAAATTATTTAACCTATAAAGTAAAATCACTTTATTACAAATCAAAATAGCCCAATAGCTTTATTAACACGAGACATAATTGTACGAGTGCTTACAATACTTAACATTATTTTACTGAAATCTCAGAAAGTTTTTTTTTTTTTAATAGAATAAGGGTGACACACAGTCCACCTGATGGTAAGTGGTTGCTACGGCCCATACATATCTACATCTATTCTCGATTACGTATCAAAATGTAGATGTGTTGTCACCCGTGAGGACTAAGATGTAATGCCTCGTTTCCAGTAAAAAGGTTCTCCGGTTCTCTACACTCACCATACGAAACACAGCAGGGTTAAACTGTTATTTTACATGTTATTCCGTGAGAGCGTGGCCCTTCCCCAGTCGAGCCGACCCATTCGTGCTACAACTATACCTACTACTAATATAACTGCGGCATGGCTCTACCACGTAAGAAAAAATTGACGTTTAAAATTTAAGTATTTTTAGAAGCAACTTTGCAAATATTTTCTATTGAGTTAATTTTTGTGGAATCGTGTTTTACAAACCGCCACCTGAAATACGTACAATTTTTTTTCGATAATGACGTGAAATTACAAAACGATCACCATGCATTTCAATGTGGCTCTATTCAGCCTCTTAATATGAACATACCTCGGGATTCAGAGATTTTAAAAGTTTTCATGCGTAGATAATGGAAGATATAATATTATATTATTACTGTCCCGTGTGAGGTAACCTTTATGCTTATATACATATTCTCATCATATTTTTATGGTTGGTTAGAAAAATTATATCTAAATGCAAACTTTCACAGGGTAGTTTTTTTTACTATTTTTACCCAGCAAGTAGTAAAGTAACTCTTGCTAGTACTAGGTAAGTATTATTTGCGATCTATTTGTGTGTGTGTGTGTGTGTGTGTGTGTGTGTATGTGCGTGCGTGCGTGCTTGTGCGCGCGCGCGCATGTTTGTGTGTGTGTGTGTGTGTGTGTGTGTGTGTGTGTGTGTGTATGTGTGAAGAAAAGCGTATGAGAATACGTGAAGAGGAATAAAGGTTGAGTACTAATTCGCTTACCTGTACGAGGTTGCCACTCGAGGACCTTTCTTCCTATTTTTTATCTGTTTTCCAAGTTATATAGCTAGCCCATTGCCATTTCACTGTAATATTCCGTTGGGCTATGTCAGTTACTCTGGTTCGAATGCAAATATCTTCATTTCTAACTTTATCACGTAGAGAAACCCCTGTCCAATTTAAAAATTTTACATTTTTTAGATGATAGTTTGTCTAACATAAAAACAAACATAAACCCAGAATGTCTTTATATAGTTATTTATACTTAGGTAAGCACCATTCTTTTATGTATTGATTTTGATTTAATTTGATAACAGTGTACCTAAATGTAAGCATCTGTATCTTTATTTCCCTCCCCAATAATATTTTATAAAGGCATATTCATAAAAACAGCGTTTTATTGTAATACATAATTATTAAAATTCAGTATCAACTAATTAATAAAAATATGCAACAATAAAATTACATAGGTATTAAAAACTATCGAAATCTAAGTAACGAGAGCATGTTCGTCGTTCCACATCTAAATTATATAAAAATGCATTTTTCAATTTCACTAATCAACGTCGCCGCAAAAATTTCTTCTTCTTTGGGCACTTTAAAAATTAATTTATTTAGAAAATAATATTTACAGTTACCAGTGTACAGATATTAACTAAATTAAGTATTTCTAGTCATAAAAATATTTATAATTGAGTATAAACTTTTAAAAAACTAACATTATAAGGTCAGGCGGGGCAAGCGCGCCGACGGGGTAAGCGCGCCTACCATAAAAATATCGAAAACTACAGATATAATACAACTAACGACATCTTACATCCATGCAACAAACTAAAACACAGTTCCACTTCACAATCACAGATGCCTCAGTTCACCATAACTTGATGTATCCGCCATTTCGGTTTTAGTGTCATTTAAACCTGTTACCAGAGACGAGCACGTGTTACTAATCCCCTTAGATCTTAAAATATTTTACGTATTGCCGCAAACCAATGAGGTGAGTACAGAATTTAATTGTTTTTCTTTAAATCTATGTCTGTATTTTCGCCCTAGATAGTGAAATTAATAATTTTTTATAGAATTTAAAATCTTAAGCTCAAAATAGTTAAGTGAGGCAAGTGCGCCTAAGTTCTTAGTAGTATGGCGCACTTCCCCCGAGCCAGAAGTCGTAAACTTTCATGATTCAGATATTTTCTTACCCGACGGCCTCTGAATCTGAAAAAGGCGTTGGGTGATGGGTTTACAGTAAAAGCCTCGTATTAAGTCTATAAACTATTTTTAAATAAGTAATTTTATTTGTATTTTCTTGGGATTTGCTTTTGAGACGCTATAATTATATAACTCGTTGAACGTTAGTGCAAACAGTAAAACCAACGTACTTGTAGTTTCCTTTGTTCGTTACTTTATGCGCCCTTAGGTGTGCCTAAGCTCCTTAATCGGAAGCGATATTCGAAGTCAAGCTACTTTGGATGGGTGGCTGGTAAACTATCACTCCGGCTGTTATCATTCAACGTCAGTCTTTAAGCCATGTTAGAGACCTTTGGATTTTCTGAACAACTCTCACACTAGGTTGCCCACAGATCTCTCGACAACAAGGAGCAGTTGGATACTTACTACAACTGGTTCTAAAATTATTGTCTTTTTACAGATGGTTCGTACTTATCAAAGAAAAACCGATAAGCCTTCTTGGTCTAGAGAAACTTTATGTCAGGCAATTGACGCTGTCAGATCAGGCCTATCCGGATATGAAGCAGCGAAAACTTATGATATACCTCGTAAAACAATCATGGACCACGTGACGGGTCGAAGGGGCCAAAAATCATCAACACAAGGTAGACCACCAGCCTTGTCAGCTGAAATTGAAATAGAGTTAGCTAACTGTCTACATATTATGGAAAGGCATGGCTTTGGGTTAAGTCGGAAAGAGGTAATAGAACTGGTTGGCGAGTACGTTAAAAAAAATAACATAAATACACCATTTACCAATGGCATCCCTGGAAACGATTGGTTTTCTAATTTTATGAAACGACATAGGTTGTCAATAAAAAAACCTCAAGCAGTTGAGATAGCCCGTAAAAAAGCGGCTGACCCTTTCATTATACAAGAATTTTACGACATTGTCGAAAAAGTTATTAAAGAGCTAGGGCTTGAAAATAAGCCAGAGAGAATATATAATATTGACGAAACAAGCTACTGCAGCGACCCTCAAAAAACCAAAGTGGTCGGCTTAAAGGGATATCCTTCAACTAGAATAACATCATCAGCTGGTAAAGTAAACACAACCGTCTTGGTTGCCAGCAATGCAGCTGGAGGCAAAGGGCCTCCATTTATAATTTTCAAAGGTAAGCATGTGTGGAGTGGATGGACATCTGAGGAAGCATATCCTGGCACTTTATACAGTGCGACATCCAATGGTTGGATTGAATCCGAAGTTTTTGCAGAGTTTATGGCAAAAAGTTTCATTCCCATGGTCAAAGATGAGAAAGAGCCAACCCTCCTAATTTATGATGGTCATAGCACGCACGTGCAACTGGCTGTGGTCAAAATGGCGAAACAAAATAATATCACCATTATTAAATTGCCACCACACACAAGTCACCTTCTTCAACCACTTGATCTATGCGTATTCAAACCTTATAAAGACGCTTGGGATCAGGAAATGGTTAAATGGCAACGCACACATAAGGGCGAAAAGTTACCTAAGGATCAGTTTTCAGCGATAGTGGGAAGAGTTTGGAAAAATCTTAATTCCAATGTTATAAAAAAAGGGTTCGAAAAAAGCGGAATTTATCCATTTAACAGAAAAGCTGTAACGGAATATAAACTAGACCCAGAAGCCCTAAAACGATGGAAAAAACACCATGAAACCTTATCGAAAAAACAAACACTCGCTCGTAGTTCACCATTAACCTTAACCAAATTATGCCTGAATAAAATTAACTCTTGTATTAAATTAAACTCGAATCCAGTCACCATTTTGCCAAAAATCGTTAGTTCAAAATCTTCTGAGAAAATATCTTTTGAAGATTTATTAATACAATCTACCAAACAATCGCAAACTGCCAATGTCAAGAAAAAGATAGTAAAAATTTCCGCAAGTGCAGAGGTGATAACGCATCAGGACGTCATTGAAAGATTGAAACAGAAGGAAGACGATAAAGCCAAAAAAGAACAAGAAAAAGATGAAAAACGAAAGCAACGAGAGCAACGAGACCAAAAAAAGAAAATTATAATAAGTAAACAAAATGAGAAAATTGATAAAGTAAAAGTAAAGAAAATTGACGAAAAGAGTAAAAATATAAGACTGACAAAAAACAAACAATCGCATGTTACTGACCCACCAAGCTCGGAAGTAACTCTTTCTGAAATAATATCACCTAATTCAGACTTGAACGTCCGTGACCCAATTCATTTTTTACAAGACGATTCTTCAATACTTAATTGCCATGCAAGCACCTCAAAATTACCACCGCCACTGACTTCAAAAACAAAAATTGCTATTTTAGAAGACAGATATTTAAAAGTTGATGAAAAACTGACCAAAGATATTTTTACAGGACATAAAATGAAACGACCAGCAGACTTTACTTTACAGGGCACTGATGAAATACATACTTCAAAACAAATTAAATATGAAAAACAAAACAATCCCATCAAAATAAAAACGAAAAAAAAGCAAAATAAAATTAAGATAGAAGAAGATTTAGAAGAAGACAGTGACTTTACGATTCATGATTCAGATGGTTCAGATATGGACCTAGAAAGTTACTGTAATATTTACCTAACAGAATATAAATCAGATGATGAAGAAAACGTATATACGGATTTTGGACTCACCGATATCGAGTATTATGAAAATACATCAAACAAATTAAAGAAAGGTGATTGGGTTCTAGTCAAGTTTTTTGTCAAAAAAAAGTGTAAAACATTATGTAGGGCAAATTATTAATATTAATGATGACATTCCAGTGATAAAATACGTACGAAAAACTCAAACAAAACAAAGAGGTTTGCTTTTTGTCTATCCTAATGTGGACGACATATGTGAGTTGAAACATGTTGCAGATATTGTGTCAGTTTTGCCGAAACCCACAATAACACGTCGTGGCCAAATATCCTTCAGTATTAATATCGGTAAATTTAATTTACAGTAAGTTCTTACTATTTATTATAATAAGATTTTTGGAGATATTTGTTTTATATTTTTTTGTTAAGTCTTTTAGGTGATAATTATAATTTGGACCAAAGTTAACAAAGATTTACATGATTTTACTAAGTATTTAAGTACTTAGATTACTGACATTAGATTATATTTTGTTATTGTTTTTTATTTTTGCTTGATTTTAATGCGTCATGTTGTTTAAATATTTAAGCCTAACAAAGACTGAAATATTTTTTACTTTACCATGTAAGTTCTTGCGTGCCATCCACTAGATTACTAAGTATTTGCTTCTTCCTATTTCGTCAAAGGAAAAATTGTTACCTACTTTTGTATTTTTTTTTAATAAATAGACGTAATGCATAAATTAAAAGTCTAATTTGATTAATTAAATATCTCTATTATTCCAGCCAAACCTGCAGACATTTTTATTTAAATACAGCAGTTTTTACTTTTTATAAAAAAAAAGAGCATTAAAGGTTTAGTGCCCCTGATTACTAGTCTACGGCGCACTTGCCCTAAATTTGTTATGGAAGCTGCAGTAGCCTACAGGACGAGTAAATTAAAAAGAAGCCAAGAGTAATGCGTTTATTTGTTTATGTTCTATTCAGTAAATTATCTGTTTTTCTGGTAACGTACGATTTTAGCGTCTTTTTTTATATAGGCGCACTTTCCCCGTTCCTAAGGGCAAGTGCGCCTATATCCATGTTTTCTAATTTAATAGAAAATATCGTAAAAATATTGATTGATTTGATTGAATCGACGTTTCTTGCAGCTACAAAATTCCAAATATTGACAATTTAATAAATGTTCACTCATAAGTCAGCATTCAAAAAAAATATTTTGCATCGAAATCATCTATGCAAAAAATATGGCGCCCTTGCCCCGCCTGACCTTACACGCGCAACCAGGCTAGACGTCACACCTATGTAACGTTGTTAATAAGAATTATTCATCGTGCTAGTTAAAATCGGCTTTTGTGTCTAAAAAAATTGTGGACAAAGTAATTTGTTTCAAAAAAAAAACTATCGCTGACAAGCAGTCAAAGTGTTAAAACAGTGTTTGAGTGTAATAAGAAGTTGAACTTTTTTCCCTTCAATTTGAGGATTATTTTGCTGTTTACTAATATCTCAATGTACCTTACATTCATTTTGTAGTTAAAGAATATATCCTAGAAATAGATGTCATATTTCACCATCCATGTAACAGTAAACACAGCGTACTGGTTAACGTAGCGATTACAAGAGCCTGAAGAACTCGGTTCGAGCCTTACCAGAGGAATACTTTTTTCAATTGTTAGTCATTTAAAAAATTCATATTTTATACAATGGATTCAAATTATGACTCAAAAGGCACCTGTGCAGGTTGTCCAAATATAATCAAAAGTCGTAAATATTTGATATGCGCGTTTTGCGGTCTCTGTTACGATTTATTGTGCGCAAACGTGTCTACAAAACGATTTCAACTTATGACCAGAGACAATAAAAAGTCATGGAAATGTCTTGTGTGTCGTAATAAACAACCAAAAGTCGATAACACAAATACTCCAGTGCGTACGCAAAACAATTGCATAGTTTCCAAAACATCGGATGCCTGCGAGAATGTTGAGGGTAATCATGACTACAGTAATATCACTATGCGAACAACGCAAAAAGTTAACGTTGATAACTATGATTCGGAGACCATGTTAAACGTTCAAAATCTCCGCAGAATCATTAAGGAGGAGCTAACAGCTGCTCTAAAATCAGCAATACAGGTGCAAGTATCTGAACAGTTGGAAATAATTAAAGAACAACTTGCAACTTTCCACGAGTCAATGACATTTTTTAATGAAAAATTTGAAGAATTAAAAAGAAACCTTACGGAAAAGTCTATTATTATTAAAAACCTGGAAGCTGATAACGAGAAATTGAAGGCATCTGTTCACACTATAAAGAATAATTTGAATGTAATGGAACAATTTGCAAGATCGTCTAATATCGAAATACAATGTCTACCAGAAAATAAAGAGGAAAACATATTAAATACTGTTGTTCAAATAGGAAAAGTCATAAATTGTAATATTAACGAAACTAATATATCGCACTGTATAAGAATTTCGAAACAAAATCCTCAAAGTTCCAGGCCAAGATCTGTGCTAGTAAGATTTAATAACCAGCGTATACGTGATTCTTTCATTGCCAGTGCTAGCAAATATAACAAAGAAAGTAAGAGTAAACTCAACACTAGCCTACTAGGAATTTCATCTGATCCACCAAAACCGATTTTCATAGTAGAACATCTGACCGCGGATAACAAAGAACTGCATGCTGCAACAAGGGCCCGTGCAAAAGAACTGGGCTTCAGGTTTGTCTGGGTCAAAAATGGAAAAATTTTTGTGCGGAAACAGAAAAATCTGAGTGTATTCATATTGCTAACAAAGATATTTTTAAAAAATTGGGTTCTAATTCGGTGTAGACTACAGTATTTTTATTTGTCTAACTATCAATGTCACGTACATAAAAATAGGCAAATTCAATTCACAAAACAAAATTAGACAGTTTACTATAGGTTTGTTAAATGTTCATTCGCTTAATACAGGCTGGGATGAATTTGTGGCGTCATTTCGGTTGGCTAACTTTGATGTCGTCTGTCTAACTGAAACATGGCTAAAAACTGACTCTGATATTGGTGCTTACACTATTCCTAGCTATAATCTAATACATAAGCCACGTTGTGGTCGTGGTGGCGGTGTAGGTATATATGTGAGGTCCAATATGCGTGTAAAACAACTTAATCACCCCGAGTCCATACTAGAACAATTATGGATTGATATTAAAACTAAGCGACACAGTTTATTAATCGGAATTGCATATCGTCCTGAGTGTGTAAGTCAAGAAATTGCAATTGATTCTCTTCATGAATCTTTATCAGTACTTGGATCTAAATACGAGCACATATTTGTTGTAGGTGATATTAATATAAACTGTATAGATCGTAACAATCTGGTAACCCTACCTAAATGTTTCTAAGTGCTGACTGACTCTTACAAGCTACATCAAATTGTTAACTTGCCAACTCGTATCACGCCGCTTACTTCGACACTTATTGATGTCATATTTACTAGAGTTAATCTGGAACCCATATCGGTAGATGTAGTACATAATGATGATTTAAGTGATCACGGACTAGTAATAGCAACATTCCCTATTAGTGTTCCTAATATAAAACCTCGCACCGTCCAGTATAGACCACTGGCAGATAATGCCAAATATATTAATGAAGCAGCTGCATTCACGCCCTGGGAACTCATACTGGAATATAATGACCTTAATGGAATGGTTAACTTGTTCAACTTTCTTGTCTTAGACTTAGTAGATACTTTTGCCCCTGTATGTACACGTAAATTTAAAAAACCTCCATCTCCATGGATGACCAATACCCTTATAGAAATGAGAAATATTCGTAATAAAGCATGTCGTAAAGCTAAAATAAGTAATTCCGGATCAGCTTATAAATTCTACCAGGACATGCGCAACCTATATAATTGCGCTGTTCGTGTTGAGAAACAAGCATATTTTACCCAATTTGTAAATAATAATATTAAAAATCCGTCCTTAATGTGGCGTCATATTAATAAAACAATTAAGAACGGTGCAAGTAAATCAATTCCTGTACATCTTTTGGATTCCACAAAACTCAATAGACATTTTATAAATAGCGTTCCTGTGTTACCGGTTGATTTAAAACAGTTAGAAAAATTTGAAAGTAATTGTCGTAGTAACTTATCTGAGTTCAATTTTAATAGAGTGACTGCTTCAGAGCTACATAAAATTATTAATTCCTCTTCTTCTAACTCTAAAGTATGTGATGAAATTAGTATGAATATGATTAAGCTTACATTACCCTACTCTTTGGTTGCTATTGAAGCCATCGTTAATAAATCATTGTTAGAAGGAGTATTTGCTGATGTTTGGAAGTGCTCATTGATCATACCCTTACCTAAGAAACAGAAGATAGACAGTTTTGACGACCTCAGGCCAATAAGTATATTGCCTGTCTTGTCAAAAATAGTTGAGAAGTGTGCACAGTCACAAATTACTAGCTATCTGAAAGAGAATGCCATCCTTCCAGATTTCCAATCGGGTTTTCGGCAAAAATTTAGTACAACTACAGCATTATTACACATAACGGACGATATTCTCACCGCCGCTGATAATGGACAAGGTACCATTCTAGTTCTACTAGATTTCACTCGGGCTTTCGACTGCATTAATATAACACTTTTACTGAGAAAATTAAAAAACGTTGGTTTTTCCGAAACGGCATGTTCGTGGTTTCAGTCTTACTTCTGCGGGCGTAGTCAAAAAGTAAAATGCATCAATATTGAAGGTAATGCTGATATTTCGAAGCCCCTATCAATTTCTAAAGGCGTTATACAAGGGTCCATTCTTGGCCCAACACTCTTCGCCATATACACAGCAGACATAAAAAATGTAGTTCACCACTCCAAATATCACCTTTATGCCGATGACACCCAATTGTACGTCCATACGACACCAAAACACGACAGTATTACGTCAGCAGTTACCAGCCTCAATGATGATCTAAAATTAATAGAGCTTTGGTCAAAGTCTCATGGCCTACTACTGAATCCTAAAAAAAGTACTTGTATAATTATGGGTACACGTCATCAGATTGCATCAATCAAAAAAAATGATCCAACTATTATGATCAGTGGCACAACTAAGTATTCCACGAGATGATTGCATTCGTAACTTAGGCCTTAACATGGATGAAGGTTTAACGTTTAAACAACACGTACAGCAAAAAATAGGAAAATGTTTTGGATCTTTAAAATCTCTTTACAAAATTCGTTCTTTTCTAAAACCAAATATCCGGCTCCGTCTTTGCAACAATCTGGTCTTGTCACATTTACATTATTGCGACTTGGTATATGGTCCTTGCCTTTCACAGAAAACTATAGGAAGAATACAAAGGGTTCAAAATGCGTGTATGCGTTATTGTTTTGACATACCTAAGACTAACCACATAACTCCTTATCTACTCAAAAATAATATTTTAAATATGGGTTACACCAGAAAACTAAAATATGCTTGTTTCGTACACTCGTTAAATAATTCGCAATCTCCTCATTATTTATATGAAAAATTATCTCCAAAATGTCAAATAACACGTTTGAGACAAAGGGGTAAACTATTATATATACTTCCAACTTATAAGCGTGTTAAAGCGAAGGGACGTTTCAAATATGCTGCCTCCAAAATTTGGAATAATATACCTCCTCCTTTACAGGAGATCGTGAATATAAAATCATTTAGAAAGAAATGCAAAGTATGGTTACTAGAACAACAAAAATTGGAGGCAGGTAAGTTTCATATTATATAAATTTGCCGATTTACATAGCACATATGTTTATACATTTTTGTCTTTACGTTGTTTCACGTCAAAGCCAAGATAAGGTTAAGATACTGCGT